ATGCATAGGGTTTTTTCTGCTGCTAGTGTTATTGCAGAGTATATAGTTAACTCTGGCGGATTCCCTTCTCTCTGTATTTATAAAAGGCTCTCCAGTATGCCTATACTACTTGTTTAGCCAAATTTTCTGTTGTTTAGGTATTAGAGTGGTGATCAGTCATTGGACCAGGAAAGTTAGACCCAGTCAAGTTGTATACTGGATTATGTAAAACTTGAAAGAAGGAGCGAGAGGTATTTGTGAGATGGCACCCTGTGTTAGTGATACAGGGTTTACTCACCAGAAATTTTTCATGCATTCTCTGATGAGATGTGGTCATTTAAAAAAAAATCTATAGATGGTGAAAAATATAGTCTTTCCTTCTATACCTCTGAGGCAGGGGATGGCCGACATTTTCTGTAAAGGGCCAGATAGTAAATATTTTAGGCTTTGTGGACCATATGGTCTCTGTCTCAACTATTCAACTCTATCCTCATAGCAGGAAAGCAGCCAAAGACAATAGCTAAGTGAGTGGGTGTGGCTGTGTTCCAATAAAACTTTATTTACAACAACATGCGGTGGTCTGGATTTGGTCCCTGGGCTGTAGTGTGCCAACTGCACTCTGCACTCTAGTGCACAGGGTGAAAAATAATGCCTAGGCTGCTCTAGTGTATAAGGTGAAAAATAGAATAAAGAGAGAAGGGAAAGCAATTAGGAATCAATGGAAGTGGAAGGAAGTACAGAGGAGGAAGTAGGACAAAGGAAGGCAGGGAATGGTGGCATAGTAAAACCTGAACACAGGATGATAAAAGTGGAAGTTACAGGAAATATTGTTGGGATCTGTATATGACGGAAATCTCTCTGGTTAAAAAGGTTTATTTTGAAGTATTGGGGGCCGTAATAGATTGGAATTAATAAAGTTTTAGGCAGGTCAGGAGTATGATATAAAAGTCTGATTATCAGTTGCTTTTCCCAGGCATTCAAGATTCAGACATTGTGTACATCTTCTTACACGTGTTCTTAAATGTATCTGAGTTTTTATCAAAACCCTTACTGCTTCATCCTGGGTATCCTATTGGTAAAAACACAACTAGTACCATATTTCATGAATTTTTAAAAAATTAATTGGAACATTGGGTGCAGAGGGCTTTATAACTGTGCATGATAAAAGATGCAGGTTCATATTTTGAGAGTTGAGCAGTTTTTCTAAAAATGACTAGTTTAATTTCATAGTTGATGTGTCTAGCAGAAATAGTTTTTTGTGTTTTGGTAGCAGTACAGAAGATTAGGAAAGATTGGTGGCTTGTGAGAAAACGCTAATCAGAGGAATAGGAACAGTACAGTATGGATCTGAAGAATCACTTAAACCTGGAACTGGATTGTTACAATAAAATAAATATTTCCTAATGATGTTTTGGCTTCTTAAAAAGTTTCTTTTTTTTTGCTATATGCCTCTGTTTTTCTTGTTTATTATGGCATTATCTTTGAGAAATATCTGCTTTCTGAAAGTATGTAATACAAAAGGGAGAACGTAAACTGCTCTTTCTAAAAATCAAAAATTTAGGGTGGAGTAATATAAGTATGCTTTTCTTTATTCTTTATCAAAATATTATGAAATTGTAGTTTTTATAGAATGTTATAAAAATGTATACAATTTTATAGTTGAGATTTATATTGTAGAATTCTTTGACAAATTTTATTATATGTTAAAATGAACTGTTAGCCATTTTAAAGTAGAAAAATATTATATATATATATTTATTGCTCACATATATAAATAAATCAGAGTAAAAAGGGTATAGTATCTGAATGATAGGATGAATAATGATGTACTGTAGCAGAATTAAATGTTGGCCTTTGAAATTATAATTTCAGATTAATTTGAAATTATAATTTAATCCATAGACAGGTGATGATGGTTGTTCTATCCTAAATTCACACTAAAATCTTTATTTTAAAAGGTGAACCTACTTTTCCCTAGGAAGAGTAGGAAGAAAAATAATTTTATTGTTCTAATATTGTTACTTCAAAATTTTTTTGACAGTAAAGAAATTTACTTTAAATTCTCACTTTTGAAAGACCATTTTTTATCCAGTGGGCAGCATTTCCTAAAGAAATCCCACTTATCTCCTTTCTGCTCTTAGTCACTTTGTTCTCAGCCTGCTGTTCTATTTTTCTTATGAACTAATTTAATGAAATAAGGTGAGAGTCTTTTTACTTACTGTTCTGTGTTGAATCTCTTCCCTCTTTATCCTTGTTCACACACTGATATTGAGACTTGCCTTTTGCATTCTTTCTGAACAGTCTCCCCTTTTCGCCCTTTCTTTTTCCTGTTCCCTGTCACCTTTCCTTGCTGCTCTTTGCTGCATCGTTATATTTTCACTTGTCCTAGTGTCACTGTTTTGTATTCTTTCAACATGATGCTTTCACTCCCCTTTTCCATTAAAATAAAAGAATTCTTGGTCAATCTTTTATCAAGACTTAAAAAAATCCTTTTCCTTGAAATATGTGGAGACTATTTTAGATGCCTATTTTCAAAGTTTTGATTTAATTTCAAAGTGGGAAGAAACTCTTAAATTTTAGTAGAAATATTTGTGAGATTATATCATGGGGCACCGTCTCTTGATGGCACTGCCAACATTCAACAGATAATTTATAATTTAATGATAGTTTAACACATGCATGTTATTCAAATAATGTTATAATTATGATGCCCATCATTAGGTTTAGCAGTACAACTGCATTTTGAGTTTTTTCCCTATCTAATACAAATACAAAGAATTATTTCATTTGGCAAATTAAATAATGTTGTAGTGAAAATGTTAATTTGACAATAAATCACAGTTTTAAATGCCAGATGCCCCGGCTTAATGTTGTTCAGAAAGTTTATTTAGAGAATATAAAATGTGGCTTAGTGTTCCTGTATGTCAGGCTTCACAGATGAAGTATGGTGCCTGATATTAATCAGGTTAAAGGACCTCCAGTGCTTGGAGTGTGTTGTGGATTATACCTACATTGCTCATAGCCTCCCCCCTGCCCCCCCTCCCCTTGCCCATATTAGCAATCTGCTTTTGTACTTTGACATCCAGGATTTCCCTAGTGAATTTTGTCACAGAAAAAAGAGAATCATCAATATCGCAGTTAAACTTGACTTTCAAAGCTAATAGTATCTCATTTGGGGGCTCAAATTTAATAAATTTTCTTTGATTCTGGGTGAGTTTTTAAACATCAAACAATGAATTGGCCAGGGTGCAGTAAAATATTTAGATCTATTGACTGTTGTTCAGAAGGGTAGAAGGCAAAACACTAGTGGTTTGATGTTGATAAATTCTCAGTACCTTAATCCACATTAATGTTTTCTTTTATCTGAGTGCACATTGGTGATGACAAAAAAAAAAAAAAGGCAAGAGAAGGTGTCCATACATATAAGATATAAAACCTAAATCATATTTCACAAATGTCTTTGCTTTATTTTGTTAAGTGAGTTAAAAGCATTCTCATCTTAACTGAAGCCTGGAGAATGTTTGTTACAGATAAATATACATTCTGAATTAGGACTCCGGCGTGAATATCATACTCACACTGTTATAGAAATTGCATTATAGTGTATGTTTTACAGCATACACTTTGACATTCACTTATTGACAGAAATTCTTCAGCTCAACTTGAGAGTATAAGGATTTTTATAACTTAGATTAGCACGAACGATGAAAGATGTCATCACGTATTTGCGCATGTTTGCTGATTTAAGGAAACCCTATGTAGTATGATAGTTCATTCATAAAGTAAGAAATAACTCAAACAGTTTTACAAGCTGGAATAGAAAAATGAAGGTTGGGGTTTCTATCATATATTATTGCCAAGTTACATATGAAATTGCTCAGGTAAAACTAGAGATATAAATACATTTATTTGAGCAATGATAGTTCTCTCCATTCTTGACCTTTGCTACCTCATAAAAACTCATTTTGTCCTGTGGTTTTAAGCTAATTGTATACTATTTATCAAATATATGGTGTCAAAAAGATAATTTTTTAAAACCTATTCAGGTATAAGGAAAGTTAGGAAATATGTATACATATGAAAACTGCTATCATTAAACTGTGTGATTGAAGATGAAAGATCACTGGTCTTAAAAGAAAACTAAACTGTGGAATTTTTGAGGCTTTTACTAAGTTTGGAAATTAAAAATGAAAATACCTGTTTCTGAGCATTTTCTTCTATCTGTTTATATTATATAGTGAGTATTTCTCATTTGTCCAGAAGGTGGCAGTGTAATATCAACTGCATGTGATGCAGAGGCTAGCTAGAGAATTGGTGTTTCTCCAATTCTCTGTATCTGTGATGTGTTTGTATTGTTACCTTACTGAATACTTAAAATATAGTACAAACACTACTAATTTTATCCATTATCTTATTTAGAAGTTGTGTGACCAAGTTGGTTTATATGTATTTAATCATTAAGCCTCAAGTTTAATTTAGAGTAAAGAGGGCAAGCAGACCTCTTGCTGGTATATTTTTAAGCCTCCTTGTGTGTTGAGCATATTTGTTTTTACTCTAGAGTACATATTGAAGTTTTCTTTTCAAAGACTAGTACCTAATAACTATCTTGTTTAATATATATCAGTTAATACCAGTTAAATTAAACATGTTATTAAGAAAGTGAGAATAAATAGGAGATTGCTGTTTATTTTTGATTTTGTAGATGTTTTTTCCTTTCCTTTTTCTTCTGAGGGTGGAACAGTGAAAAAATAATTCAAAACCTCTTGATCAGAAGAGCTCCAGCGACTCTCCTTCCCTCCCTCATTTCAAGTAGGAGGATGCTTTTTCTTCTTAACATTCTCCCCCAGTACTCTGAATTAGAGATTTATTTGCAACGAAAAATCAATTAGTCCTAAATTTATTCATGGATTTCAGGTCCAGCGATCAATGCAAGTCCACTCAGTGGGCTCAAGGGGACCCAGTTCATCCCAGTTAATGTGTCTGAAGGGGAATTACCATTGATGCTATTTTTTTCCCTTTAGGTCAGAGATCAGATCTCGCTGTCACGGACTGCGGCAAGTAGGAATGACTTCACCCTGCAGCTACCCAGACTGCACCTGGAGACCTTTGCAATGGAGGGGCTCAAGGGCGGGCCAGAGGTTGTAGCGTGCCAGGTTAGAGTCTAAATTACATTGTTTGCTACCGAGACACGTAGAAAAAGAAATTGCACTAACTGCGGAGAATGGAAGCCTCCAAGTATTGTGACTAACTTGAAGAAGATGCAAATAATTTTTCCTCATTTTTCTTCTGTCATGTAACACTATATTTCACAAATAATTGTGTTTTTTTCTTTAAAGCCTAGAACTAACCAATTAAATAATCCAGAAAAGTTTTTTATTTTTTACCAAGGAAAAACGTGTGGTTTATAGCTAAGTACAGTATTAAAAGAACATACTTTTGGGCAGCAGAGGACAATAAGACGCTAGGCTGTTATCTCTTTAAGCTAGTCTGAATTTGTAACTCTTATTGTTTTACAAAAAATCACTTTAGATAAAATTATCAGGCGAGATATTTGATATTTTTCAGTGTTAATTCCAAAGTATATCCAGCATTTCTCAGGTGGCAATTTAATTTCAGCAAATCTAGAACCTAGCTGCACTTTGCATTGAAAAGTATCTTATACTTCAGTGTTTAGTTTTAATGAACTTTGTTATATGTGTCAGCTAGGTTATTTCATTTATAAAACTCAAAGCACCCAATCATAAAACCTCAAGTAACTTTAAAATAAACTTAATAAAGATATTTATTTTCAAAAACATATTTATTTTCAGATGCTGCAGCTAGCTTTCTATTCTAGGTTACTATTAGGTTATTGTGCTCATTTTTCTCCTTAGGGTTAAAAATATTTTTTAATCAGACAAAACAAAATTTAGTATGTATTTTATTCTCCCTTTAATGCCCAATTTCTTTATTAGAAAAATCTATCGACATTATGTGAACTATAGGGAGACTGGTAATTCAAAAGAGGTTGTCCTTGTTCAGTAGCACCCTAGATTTTTCAATGTATTTAAGAGAAAGATCTCTTAAAACTCAGTCCCTTTCACATTTTGAGGTTTAAGATAAACTTTTTTCATTCTTCAGTTTATGACCCTGTAAAATTTTAACTTCGTACAAAATTAATGTCAGTCCAAGTGGGGCTATGTTAATTTTTTCCTACATGCTCCATACCCTAATTTAATTTGTTATTAGTACTCAAATTAATGCTCAACAAAGAAAAAATGCTTGTTGTTTCTTTCATTAGATTGTCCACCAATATATCTAAAACATATGTAATTGTAAAACGAAGCATAAGGCATTTTTATTTTCATTTATAGGCTAGAATACTGTACCATTATTTAGTACAAGATTAAGATGTACATTTAAAATTTGATTATATTTAAGTACAATATGATTTGAGATTTTTCTAGTGGTTGTAAAGTAATCCTTTGCTTGGTTATCTTAATTCGGAATCTCACAGGGCTTAGTACTTGTCATAATTCACAAATAAAGACTTCCCCCAAACTCTAGATTGTGATGATTTGGAAAGAGACTGCTTCTTAGGAATGCCATTTTTTGAGGCAAAGCATGAACTCTATAGAGTTCTGACATCTGTGCATAACAAGAAGGAAATGGATGGGCTTGTATTTTAAACTACTATCTTTTCCAAGTTCTAATAAAAATAGTTATGTGGGTTGCCAGATACCTAAACACTTGGGTAAATTTTGTATTGACGTGCTGTAACATGCATTGTAGTTTAGTAATATATGTTTTGGTTTAGTATCCTGTGCAGAGAAGAGCACATATTTGAGCCCTAATAGTGTTTGATACACACACACACACACACACACACACACACACACACACACACACACACGGACACGGACACAATTGGTGATATGGAGTACTTTGAGAAGAAAGGCACTGTATTAATTGAAGTCCTTAATTATAACAATAACTATAATTATAATAATTATTATTATAAGTGCCATTTTAGTGAGCACTTACTGTGTAACAGGTATCATGCTTAGCTGTTTAAATAAATGATCTCAGTTAATTCTCACAATGGACCTGTCAGATAGATGGCATTATTTCCATTTTACAATTGAAAACAACAACTATGGCAGGTAACTCTCCTCAGATCGACAGCAAGTAAATGGTAAGGCCTAGAGTCTGAGTTTAAGTCTGGGTGTATTTGACTGCAAAGCCTGAACTGGTAAAATCTGACAGTAAAAATCTAGATGCCTGTGTTAAATGGTCAGAGTGAAACCTTTGAAATCTACAGTGGAGTTTTTCTTCCATTTACAAAGTATACATTATGCATCTGTGTATGATGTAGGTCATAGTTTATGCTGTATTGTAGACAAATTCACAGATACAAAATTGTGTTTCCATTTGACAGGCTAATATTATAGAACTCTACTTTTCACCTTTTCGCAGTTTGTAAATATATATATTTATGCTAAGTGTGGCTACATATTTAGGAATTCAGTATTTGTTTAGCTTTGTACTGTGTGCTGATGAAGCGGACTACTCAAAGCATGAACAGCTTTCGATTATGATGAGGGGAGGACCACTATGCAGGATGTGGTAGCGTCTGAATTATTTGGCCAACATATACAACCATCATTTAGAGCGGTAGGAGCTGAAGTTTTCCTAGACAGCCACTGTCTGTCTTTTCCAAAGGGGCAAGCTTTATTATAGGTATAATCCTTGATGGAAGGAAGACCAATGAGCGTGATTGAAAGTTGAAGAGGATGAGTGGATTACCTTATCTCTCTGTACCCAGAAGAGCATGTGACTGATACTCTTCTACAGGAGATAATTCAGTTCATCTAGTCTCTGCGATCTGCTAGCTTTTAACCCTGATTTCCTTATCTGCAACAAAGTGTAATGCTAACAATTTCTCGGGCTTGTAGTAAGTTTGAATGAGGCAATCCATGTAAAGCAGAGAGCACAGTGCCCAGCACAAAGAAAGCAGACAACGCATGGTGGCTCTTATTACTGCTGACCAGTATGGGAAACATTGTAAAGATGAAGTAAGCAACAGTAGCTTGATTTTATTACTTTTGAGGGGTGTGTGGGGGTGGTTTTGTTTTTAAAGAAATGGTTACTTAGAATCTTTTCTCTATATCTTTCCATTTGTTTCCTTCAGTCTTCCTTGTTTCTTCAAAAGCTTCACATAATTTTGATTAAGATCAACTGTAGCTCCCTATTTACTTTTCCTTGTTACTTGATGTTCCAGTGAGGCCATGTCGCCAATGTAACCCCTGTTTAAGCTCCTATGGCCAGTTTAGAACTATTATACCTGGGCTTTTATCTCCTAAATAACAGCATATTAGTCTACTAGGATACTGGAAAAAAATAAAACACCTAGATTAGACAAGTTAGCTTTAGCTGAAAAGCCCAGTACAGTGTGAATGCAGAGGACTTTGTAAGAAAAAATATTCTGCCCATACTTTATAAAGATACCTGTTACTCATCGTCTTATACTTTGAATTGTGTTTTTTCAATAATTATGATATGTGATGCTTTTACTATCTGGAAGATACCAGCAGGCATCCCATAAATGTTTGTGCCTCCATTCCCATTCAACAATAAACAACACAGAACAATATCAATATTGATATTATTGAGCGCTTATTCTGTACCAGTTACTGTGCTAAGCACCTTACATTTACTCTCTCATTTAATCCCTGCAACAACCCTATGAAAAAGAGGTGCTCTGCTTTTATCTATTTTACAAAGGAAGAAGCTGAAGTTTACTGAGATGAAGTAAATTGCTAAAGGTCACATATCCAGTGAGTAGGGTGACCGGTCCCTTCATTCTTTTTAATCATGCCTTTCTGCCTTTTGTAAACCATGGCATAGTGTTTTGTGTGTTGTGTGTGTGTGTGTGTGGTGTGTGTGTGTGTTTTAGGGTAGCTGAGAGGAAAAAAGAATAAAGGTAGGGTCTGTCTATAAAATACAATTTCGTTTGTGAGGAGATCATGGCGAGAATAGAAATCCAAAAGAGATTAATGGGGAAAGTTACTTAAACGGTGTATTTCAGCCTCTTCATCTATAAAATGAAAATAATAGAAGTTTCTAACTCAGTGTGACTATTGAATGGGTTAATCCACCTGAAGTGCTTAGAATAGTGACAGGTACATTGTAAACACTCACTATTTATCAGCTCTCTACTAACATGAAAGGTCGTGAGACCAGGAACTTGGTTTTGTTCACTGCTGCATCATCAGAGCTCAGAACCCTGCCTCACATAGAAGAGGCCCTCAGTATGTATGGGTGAATGAATACCTGATTTCAGACACTGGTCAAGATGCCTTAGGAAGCTGCTGTGCCTAAGTTGTGCACGCCTTTAAGAGACTTGGGATCAATTTTTTTTTTTAACTTCTAAACCCACTTCATTTAAAAGGAAAAGTCCCCCGAACCATCTCATAAAAGTGTTTAAGGCTTAGTGCACAATAACTATACCTCTGGAAATGTAGTATATTTTATAAATATATGTTTATAAACACTTCATTAGAAAGGCTTCATTGTGAAACCATTTATTTATGAAGATTTTAAACAAGAGTCTTTACCGTAAATCCAGTAATCCTTTAATCACCCATAACCTACCATGTTATTACAAAGTCCTTACTTGGTGTGGTTGTTTGTTATGTGCTATACCCGCAACTTTTGGGGTACCATGGTTTTTTACATTTAACTTACCTTCCAGGCATAGAAATTTCTTCCAGCTATTTTGTTGTATTTATAAAGTTAAATCATAAAAGAGCATCTTGAAGGGATTTTTTTTTTTTTTAATATAGAGAAGGAACAAATACCTTGTACCTAAGTACCTAAACTGTCAGGGAATAAAAATATCAAGAATCACTCTTAATAATTTTTCACATGTGTTCCCAGTTACACTGCTTAATGCAGCAGCCTTCTAATTGTTGTATAAGAAATGTCTTCATTTGGACATAGTTAGAAGTTAAAGAAATGTTAGGCAATTTTACTTGAAATCTTGTATTATGTAGATATTTTCTTCTTCAAGTTATTCCATCCCCATAAGTGAATTTTCAGATCTCTGATTATTTTTTAAAACATGAAAACTAGCCATTTTGAATGGAAATATTGCTAAATATGTAGAATACTA